GTATAACTCGATATGAGTTGCCCCCCTTTCATTAATGCCTCTTAATCGTGTTTTCAAATTGATTTCATGCAAAAACAATTGTTTTTCCAATTTTGGGCGCTGTCAGAACCACTGCAAGGTAATTTTACATAGTCCTGTCAAGTTTTGTTGAAATCGGTTGAAAAATGTAGGAAATCCGATCCAATATATAAACGTACAGACACACACACACACACAATCTGCGTTTTATAATAAGTAAGATTTTGGGCTATTCATAGTAGAATGGGTTCCCATTGCTTTCTCCGTGGTGATTTTATGAAGAGGCAAAAAGTAATGACATAATCACGACCTTAACGTGCCAAAAACAAAACAAAAAATATCTTGAAAGGAACCAATCGGCAGTAATGCTAACGGTTCGCTCAAAGAAATACTTAATGATTCTTGTATGGAAACAGTTAACATTATTTAAATTGTTCAGACTGTTAACCCAATCGTAGTTATTATATTTAAGACGTTTCGGAAGTTGTACGCCCCCGGTTTCTTCAGGTGATTGGAATTTCCCAAGGGACACATGATCCAGTGGATAAAATCGTTGCTTGAATCAGGTGACTTAAACCAAAGAGTTCAATACCTGACTACAGCTGAGATAAACAAAAACTTGGAGAGTTGACTTGAAGGAAGATAAATAATACTGAGACATCCGGAAGAGGCATGGCACGTGGAACTGGAACACTCTACCCCAGTGAACGAAATAAAGGGTTCAGTTTGAAATTCCAATCACCCGAAGAAGGCCAGAGTGTACAACGGTCGAAACGCCGTGAACATGACAACATGAGGACAACAATCCGAACAATGTAAATAGTGTAAATAACTAAGTCATGGCATTCAAGGAACTAGTTCTAGAAAATGCGATAACAGTTAATGTGTTTCGGAAGTTTAATTTCCTGGGGAAAAAATGTTCTAAGAAAAAGTTTCAAAATTTGAAGTGTCAGTAACACTTGATGTTCGCTTAATAAATGCCGACTGTTTCGTTTTTTTTTTTTTTGTTTTTTTTTTTTTTTTTTAAGCGTCTATTTATATTAGAACTAGCATTACCATTAATTAGGTATTTACTTTGAAGTTAAATGATGTTACTAAAGCGATTAGTACTAGAACGAGCGATAAAAAAGAGCTTGAAAAGTCTAATTTTCTGAAGAACTGTATTAAGAAAATATTTTATGAATTTCAACCGACACCAACATTAAGCATTCAGTCAACGAATGCCAAGTGATCTCTATATTAACAACGAATTGTACTATTAACATTGCTATTACTTTTACCATTACCATTGCTATTAACTTTATTATTACTATTAATATGAATGTTATGATACACATCGGTATTATTTTTACTATTAATATTGCCATTAATTTTGCCACTATCATTAATTTTACAATTACCATTGCCTTGGATTCCTTCATTGCCATTAATTTTACTGTTACTATTGCCATTATTTTTAACATTGCCATTAATTTTGCCACTATCATTAATTTTACAATTACCATTGCCTTGGATTCCTTCATTGCCATTAATTTTATTGTTACTATTGCCATTATTTTTAACATTGCCATTAATTTTACTGTTACTATGGCCATAAATTATAGCATTGCCATTAATTTTACAATTGTTATAAATTCTATCGTTGTCATTTCCATTAATTCTACTACTATTATTGCCATTAATTTGCCATTGCTATTAATTTAACCATTATTTTCATATTAATTTTGCCATTGTTGTTAATTTTTATAATTGCCATTTCCATTAATTTTGCCATTTTCTTTTATTTTACCATTACTATTGCCATTAATTTCATCATTACCAATGCCATTAATCTTAATATTACCGTTGCTCTAAATTTTGCAGTTATCATTAATTTCACCATTACAATTGCCATTAATTTTACTATTACCTTGCTATTAATTTTCCCATTATCATTCATTTTACTATTAATGTTGCCATTAATTTTAGCATTACTATTACTATTTGTAGTGAGGGTAAATTATTGGAGATAGTGAATTTCAAAATAAAGCAAAGTGTAAAGAAATCAGACAACTGGTAATTTGCAGAAGACAAATAACAGGACACCTAAAAGTGTTTGCGTTAATTTTAACAAAGAAAATGTCTGAGGCAAAAATTCATAGGAGGTCGGGACTTGGTGGAGAAATCGATATCGATTTGACCATTGTTTACTGAAACAGCTACTGCGACCCTCTAGGAATTTGGCACCTGACAAAAAAGCACCCCTCCACCCCCCCACACACACGTACGTGTGTGTGTGTGTAGATTTGGTCAATACTTTTTTTTCTTATATTTGGAACCCCGTTATTTCTTGGTGAAAGAGCAATTGGACGAAGGAAAAGTTTTTACTACAAAGGGGCAAAGTGTTGAAAAAAGGGGAGGGGGCAAACGAAAATATTTTTATATATATATATATATATATATATATATATATATATATATATATATATATATATCTGTGTGTATCTATCTATCTATCTATCTATCTATCTATCTAGTATGTCTATTCATAGCTTTCTCTCCATCTATCTCTGTATCTGTCTCTTGGTCTGTTCTTATCTATCTATCTATCTATCTATCTATCTATCTATCTATATATATATATATATAATCGACTCTCCCGTCGAGATACGACGTATGAGGATCAACCCCAACAGCCCGACACCGGCACATGAGATTTGATTATAGTGGTGAAGGCTTCGTGCAGGACCATCCACACTTTTTGAAGGGACGAATACAGAGACCTGGTGCACCGAATGCCCACAAGGTTACCAAACGACCCTATATATATATATATATATATATATATATATATATATATATATATATATATAATACTGATATTTACCCAGCATACCTTCATTCTAGCATGTCTGGTAGAATAATCTAGATATATTATGTCTATTTATTTTATTTTAATCATGTCAAATTAACGGATCGATATCTTAACGTTGTTATTAAACTGATAATGGAAGGCGCTATAGACCATTAAGAGTTTAATAACAGCATTAATTGACCCGTGAATTTGACAGGATTAAAATAAAAATAGACAGAATATGTCTAGATTATTCAACCACACACACACATATATTAAGTGTTATATAAATATATATATATATATATAACACTTAATATATAATTTCTGAAGGGAAATAAGTTTTTAAATCACGTCTCCTGAAAAGTAGATGTAATTCCTGTAATTCCACGAATATCATACGTGAAAGGAAATATTTATTCCATTAATGTGTGTGTGTGTGTGTGTGTGTGTGTGTGTATAAATATATATAATTATTTATATATTATATGCGCGGTACTTATTAGAAAGCGATCAATATCAGAGATAGAGCTAACATATTTGGTTGGATAGATTTGAGTTTGTCACCCCTGAAAGTGTGTGTCTATAAATCTAAAAATATATATATATATAAATCACATCTATCCAAAATATATATATATATATATAATCCAACCAAATATATATATAATATATATATATATATATAACCAAATATATATATATAATATATATATATATATATATATATATATATATATATATATATATATATATATATATATATATATATATCCAACCAAATATATATATATATATATATATATATATATATATATATCCAACCAAATCCAATATATATATATATATGTATGTGTGTGTATATATATATATATATATATATATCAACCAAATATATATAAAATTATTATATATTTCAGGCAATATATATATATATAGATATATATATATAAATATATATATATATATATATATAGATAAACCCTGAGCGGCGATCGCTGGTTTATATATCTTGAGCGCAATCTTCAATTTAGCATAGTCTAAAATAAAGACTGTAAACCCTGAGCGGCGCTTGGATATTCGTGTCTGTATAGTCTAACACACACACACACACACACACACACACACACACACATATATATATATATATATATATATATATATATATTATATATATATATATATATATTGTTATATGCGACGAAAAGCAAAATGGTTTGTCCTTTGCGTAGAATTCGTTTCTTCAGTTCCTCGTTGCTACTGTTATGGTCCAATATCCTCGTACCATAGTTATGGCCTAAGGTTGGAACCAAGGAAGATCAACATGAACACAAGGATAGAATAACAAAGATATATTACAACAGAAATATAGTACAAGAAGTTGAAAGTGTTTGTAATTACTGTCCGTCTGGTTTAGAGTGAAATAATATTGTCTTGACTCGTTACACCATTCATTCATTATACCTCTTGAGAGGCGCAGTATTTATAGTGTCAGGAAGAGTCCATTATTGTTATAGGTAAGTTCCCATAACATATATACATACAGATAATTATTTTAACATGTTTTATTGTTATACATTATTTATATAGACACAAACATTGAAGTGAAGGCTCTGCTCATAATAAATAGTTTTAACAACATTTACTGGCCTGAACGTCCGAGGAATTTTCATAAAAAATATGTGTCCTCCGACAGGAATCAAACCTGTATGCTACATACAACCATCATATAAAATATCTTAAAATAATTGTCGGACTTTGTCCATTTCGTAGTGAGTGAAGTGATTTGTTTACGTCTAGATATGCTTCGAGCAGATATGATCGTTCGAGAGAAATCATGGAAGATTGTAGTTTAAAAGCGGTGTATCGATCTTGCTAACCAGACGCACCGCTATAGTTAAACTGGTATAGCACGTTACATGAAAAAAAGTATAATGACTATATATAATCAGAGAACCCCCCTATGTAAGCTGCATTTAAAGTATACTAGCCGTGACCCGTTGAGTCACTGAATCTTTACATTTTAAAACATTGAATTTGTTTTCATCATTAAAAAAAATGGTCTGTATGAAGAAATTTAAAATAAAAATATTTAAAATATTGTTTGTTTAAAGAAAGAAGAAATATAAATAAGCACACACAAAATCACAGGAATGTGGAAGGAGAGAGAGGTGGAAGATGAGAGAGGTGGAAGGAGAGAGAGGTGGAAAGAGAGAGAGGTGGAAGATGAGAGAGGTGGAAGGAGAGAGAGGTGGAAGGAGAGAGAGGTGAAAAGTGAGAGCTGTTTTTTCTCCATTTCCTTCTCTACCCCTTTAGCACACAATAATAAATATCTTTCACCCACTCTGTATATATGACTTCTGGCAAACACACAAGCAAACAAATTCACGGAGTTTTATAATAAAACAGATGATAATATATTTATATAATGAGCAGACTGTGGTCAGCTGGAGACATGCGGTTCGATAGGCTTTCTGAACATCAGGCCTTATTTCATGAGTAAGATAATGTTTATTAAAATTTCATCTCGCTCATTTCATTAATATTTTGTTCACTTACAATTTCTCATACAAAACAAGTTTTTTTTTTCAATTCTTTAACGTTTCATTAAAGTTTTCATCTATTTAAATCACTGGAAATTTTTAATAAGTAAGAACATACGTGTAAACAGTTTTTGCTTTAGAAAAATTCGAAAGTGAAACTACAAAAATAGATAAGGGACTAAAGTGAATGAAATTAAAAAAAGAAGAAATAAGCAAAATTATAAGTACTAATTTTTTTGTTAATTTTACTAAAATCTCACGAAATGCATGTCCCAGTAATAAGAAAAATACTGCGGTAGATAAATATTTAGATAAATAAAAGAGAGATAATTAACAGAAAGTGATATATATATATATATATATATATATATATATATATATATATATATATATATATATATATCTGTGTGTGTGTGTGTCGAGAACGAAGAGAGTGGCAAAAGATTATTACAAACAGCTTTCATTGCTTTGCAAAAGCTCTCGTAACATTCTTTTACTCACTAATAATGTTTGTTTTTGTTGTTCTTTCACACTCAGTAATACCATGCGTCTTAGTGGCTTTACTGCCTTGTTTGTGGTTAAATGATGATATATATATATATATATATATATATATATATATATATATATATATATATATATATATATATAGGAAGGAACGTAACGAACGAACGGAAGGAAGGAAGGAAGGAAGGAAGGAAGGAACGAAGGAAGGAACGAAGGAAGGAAGGAAGGAGGGAAGGAGGAAGGAACGAAGGGGGGGGAACCAAGGAGGGGAAGGAAGGAAGGAAGGAAGGGGAAGGAAGGAACGAAAAGGAAGGGGGAACGAAGGAGGGGGGAAGGAAGGAGGGGGAAGGAAGGAAGGAAGGAAGGGAAGGAGGGAAGGAAGGAAGGAACGAAAGGAAGGAAGGAAGGAAGGAAGGAAGGAGGAAGGAACGAAGGGAAGAAGAAAGGAAGATGGAAGTAAAAAACAATTGAAGGAAGCAAGATTTAAGTAATAAGCAAAGTAAAAAAAAGTGAAAGAAATATCGGAAGAAAAATAACGTAGGAATATAATAAATAAAAACGAAAAAATCATGTGAAAATGAAAATATAAAAATCGAGAATCAATTAAAGTGAATGAAATAAAAGAGAAAAAAAAGAAGCAATAAACAAAATAATAAGTACTAATTTTGTTGGTTTTTTTTTTTACTAATATTTCACAAAATGCATGTCCCAAGAGTCACCCTACGTAGAAGTATGAAGAATGATTTTTTTTTCTGATAGACATAAGAGGACAAAATAGGTGAGCCTTATGTGGATATATAGGGTTGATAAAACTTGAAGAGGTAAAGATTATAACAAGCATTGAAACATTTTCTCGGGAGTCTGTTTCCCGAACTAGACATTATCGAGAAGAAAACTGTCTCAGTGGAACTGCCTTATAAAGAAGAAATTAAAAATAAAGACGAATGAGATAAACTTAAAAGATGACATGAAATTTTTTTAAAAAAAATAATGAATGGAAATAAACAGAAATAAATAAAGCACAATTACGACGTAAAACCAAAACTAGTCACAATGATTAGAAGCGGGTCAACAACGTTTTTTTTTTTTTTTTTTTTTTTTTTTTTGCAAATATTTAATACATTTAAAATTTATTAATTCACAGATTCAGAATTTTTCTTCTTCGTTCTTTTTTTTTCCCCACTTTCAGTTCTTTAATTTCACCTGCTCAACAACGCCCACTAATCCACGATTGCAACAGGCCATGAGAAATATCCATGGAGACGAACATCTGTTGCCAACGTGAGAGTAAGATCTAACCGTAAGCAAAAAAAAAGTCTTTTTTCACTTTTAGGAAACAAAAGAATGTTTTTTATTGCTAATAAGCATCGATAGATGGATTATGATAATATATATATATATATATATATAGATAGATAGATAGATAGATAGATAGATAGATATATGGACATATAATAGATAGATAGATAGATAGATAGATAGATAGATAGATAGATATGGACATATAATAGATAGATAGATAGATAGATAGATAGATATGGACATATAATAGATAGATAGATAGATAGATAGATAGATAGATAGATGTGTACGTATGGTAGATAGATGTGGCTATGAATGTGACCATACTATGTTTGACAGATATGGAAATATTATTATAGATACAGACATATTAGGGTTAATAGATAGAGATAGGTATGACAGAGTCACAAATCGATAGTTAATAGCTGTGTCATTTTAAAGCTGAATGGGTCAAATTTGAAAACTCTTCAAATGTAATCACATATGTCATTTTGCTTTAGCTGTCAATTTCGTCATGGATCTTAAAAGGTTACGAACCGCTAATCTTCTGTATTTAGCTGCAACAAAATTATCGATAGTCTTTAATGAATATCTGCTTCATATAAAACTGAATATTGCGTTAGAATTGAGCCAAGCTAACTAATTCTTCGGTATCTTCAAATAATGTTTTTTCTTTTTAACGTTTAAAATTTGGGGGGGGGGGTGATTTTGTTTGCAAAACAAAAATTTTATCCTGACACTCTTAGTGATTCAGTTGAATGAAGGATAGCATGTTTGATTTTTTTTTTCAATTGTGCTGTCAAATCCTGCTATGGCAACAGAAAATGGCCATGACTAAAATAAAGTACTGCTGTAGAGGAGTCTTCAAAATCAATGCAGTGGCATGGAAAGTAGTGAATAACGCAGTGTATTAAAAGTTAAAAAATTAGGAATTGTGATAGTGATACGTGTGTGTGTGTGTGTGTGTGTGTGTGTGTGTGTGTGTGTGTGTGTGTGTGTGTGTGTGTGTGTGTGTGAGTGTGTGTCTGAAAAGACTAAGAAGAGAGTTTGTATGTATGTGTCTGTGTGTGTCGGTGTGTGTCTGAAATGGTTCAGTGACTAAGGAAGAAAAAGCTAAAAATATAAAGAAGGAAGGAAGGAAGGAAGGAAGGAAGGAAGGAAGGAAGGAAGAGAGAGGAAGGAAGGGGAAGATAGAGGAAGGAGGAGAAGAGGAAGGAAGGAAGGAGGGAGGAAAGAAGGAAGGAAGGAATGGAGGGAGGATGGAAGGGAGATGGAGGGAGAAAGAAAGTAAAGGAAAGGAAGGAAGGGAAGGAAGGAAAGGAAGGAAGGAAGGAAGGAAGGAAGGAAGGAAGGAAGAGAGGGAGGGAGGGAGGAAAGAAAGAAGGAAGGAAGGAATGGAGGGAGGATGGAAGGAAAAGAGAGATGGAGGGACGAAAGAAAGAAGTATGGAATGGAGGGAGGAAGGAAGGAGGGAAGGATGGAAGAAAGAGAGGGAGGAAAGAAAGAAGGAAGGAATGGAGGGAGGATAGAAGGAAGGAAGGAAGGAAGGAAGGAAGGAAGGAAGGAAGAAAAGAAGGAAGGAGGGGAAGGAGGAAAGAAAGGAAGGAAGGAAGGAAGGAATGGAGGAGGAAGGAAGGAAAAGAAGGAGATGGAGGAAGGAGGGAGGAAAGAAAAAAGGAAATGGAGGAAGGAATGGAAGGGAAGGAAGGATGGAAGGAAGGAAGGAAGGATGGAATGGAAGGAAGGAAGGAGGAAGGAAGGAAAGGAAAGAAGGAAGGAATGGAAGGGAGGAAGGAGGAAGGAAGGAAGGGAAGGAAGGAAGGAAGGAAGGAAGATGGGGAGGGAAGGAGGAAAGAAAAAGAAGGAAGGAAGGAATGGAAGGAGGATGGAAGGAAAGGAAGAATGGAGGGAGGAAGAAGAAGGAAGGAAGGATGGAATGAAGGAAGGAAGGAAGGAAGGAGGGAAGGAAGGAAGGAAGGAAGGAAGGAGGAAGGAAAAGAGAGATGGAAGGAAGGAAGGAAGGAAGGAAGGAAGGAGGGAAGGAAGGAAGGAAGGAAGGAAAGGAAGGAAGGAAGAGGAAGGAAGGAAGGAAGGGAAAAGGAAGGAAGGAAGGAAGGAAGGAATGGAAGGGAGGATGGAAGGAGGAAAGGAAGAATGGAGATGGAGGAAGGAAGGAAGGAAAAAAGAATGGAATGGAGGGGAAGGAAGGAATGGAAGGAAGGAAGGAGGAAGGATGGAGGATGGAGGAAGGAAGGAAGGAAGGAAGGAATGGAGGAGGAAGGAAGGAAGGAAGGAAGGAAGGAAGGAAAGGAAGGAAGGAAGGAATGGAAGGAGGGAGGAGGAAGGAAGGAAGGAAAGGAAGGAAGGAAGGAAGGAAGGAAGGAATGGAGGAATGGAAAAGGGAGGGATGGAGGAAGGAAGGAAGGAAGGAAAGAAGGAAGGAATGGAGGGAAGGATGGAAGGAAGGAAGGAAGGATGGAATGGAAGGAAGGAATGGAAGGGAAGGAGGAAGGAAGGAAGGAAGGAATGGAAGGAATGGAAGGAAGGAAGGATGGAAAGAAGGAAGGAAGGAAGGAGGAAATGGAGGAAGGAAGGAAGGAATGGAAGGAAGGAATGAAGGATGGAATGGAGGAAGGAAGGAAGGATGGAAAGGAAGGATGGGGAGGGAGGAAGGAAGAAGGAAGGAATGGAGGGAGGATAGAAGGAAGGAAGGAAGGAAGGAAGGAAGGAAGGAAGGAAGGATGGAAGGAAGGAAGGAAGGAAGGATGGAAGGAAGGAGGAAGGAAGGAAGGATGGAAAAGAGGGAAGGAAGGATGGAATGGATGAAGGAAGGAAGGACGAAGGAAGGAAGGATGGAAGGAAAAGGAAGGAAGGAAGGAAGGAAGGAAGGAAGAAGGAAGGAAAGAAGGAGGGAAGGAAGGAAGGAAGGAAGGAAGGAAGGAAGGAAGGAAGGAAGGAAGGAAGAAGAGATGGAAAGGAAGGAAAGAAAGAAGGAAGGAAAGGAAGGATGGAATGGAAGGAAGGAAGAATGAGGAAGGAAGGAAGGGAAGAAGGAAGAAAGGAAGGAGGGAAGGAAGGAAGGAATGGAAGAAGGAGGAAAAAAAGGAAGGAGGAAGGAAGGAAGGAAGAAGGAATGGAAGAAGGAAAAAAAGAAGGAAGGATGAAGAAGGAAGGATAGGAAGGAAGGAAGGAAGGAAGGAAGGAATGGAGGGAAGAAAGAAAGGAAGAAAGAGGAAGGTAACAAGAGAGGGGAGGAGGATGGAAAGAAAGAAGGAAAAGGGGAAAAAAAGAAGAGATAAATATAATTTGTCATTAAAAATAGAAGGAAGACAGAAAAGTGGGGAAGTCAGGGGAGAAAAATGAAAGAAAGAGAAAGGAGGGGAAAAGAATAGAAGAGGAGAAATGAGAACTGGAGCCAGGAAGGTGAAGGAAACAAAGAGAAGAAATTGCAACAAATTTAAGGAAAAGAAAGAAAGAAAGAAAGAAAGAAAGAAAGAAAGAAAGAAAGAAACACAAGAAATGGAAAAACAAAATGGCGTGGACTTAAAGAAATGAGAAAGGTCGTAGGTACAAAATAAATCAGAAAATAAAAAAGTTTAGAAGTCAAATCTTGGTTAGATGCAGCGCCCTCCTATCGCTAAATGAAAATGACGACAAACTCCCAGCATACCTTCTGTTTACATTCGTTTATTTTTTTATAATTGCAACTTTCCAGGACTTGGGCATTTTGAACAGACCGTTTTCCGATGTTTCGATTCGCATTTAATATTTTCGTCTCTGATGCTACCTGAATTTTACCAAAAACAAAAAAAATTCTATGCCTGAGGATGACTGAACGTACAGTTGAAAGTACTTGCGTATTAAAGGAAGACCTTATAAAACTTTACAAAAAAAAAAAAGGAAGATAAATTATAATGATACACCCGGAAGATTAGTAGGTGGAACTGGAACTTTAAAATTTTGTTTGAAAGGAGGGTTCAGTTTTATATAATTAACTGAAGAAATCTACTTTTTACAATGGATGATTCATTGTAATGTCAATTGAACTGACAGCAATTTGAATATATATATATATATATATATATATATATATATATTAAAGGAACTAGTTCTAGAAAATGCGATAACAGTTAATATGTTCCAACAAGTTTATATTCCTGGGGAAAACACTGTTCTGAGAAAATTTTCAAAATTTTGAAGTTAACAGTAACACTTAATGTCAATCTAATGAATACCGAGCTATAAAGTGTATAAGCGGCTAAATCTAACTATTACAACTATTATTGTCGAAATTACGACTGGAAGGAGAGATGTTCGAGTGATAAGTTTCAATTATTAGCAGTTTGAGACCATGTATTCACAAGAGGCAAAAATAATCCTTTGAAGCAATTTGATGGAATAAGTCCATTTTAAAGAAAATGCCATGCCTTTCCCTAATTGAGAATTCGTTCAATAATGCACAGTCGCAGGAAAAATGTATATAGACTGGCTACACGAAGATAAACGAAGCCATTTTATTTATTTTCTGATCTTTCGTATTTTTATGATGAACAATGCCAATCCTCAAATTGTGATATACAATATTATCCCTACATAAGACTTAAGAACGCCTGTTCGCCGACCCGATGAAATAGTGACGCCTATTTCCATCTGATACCGAAAGATAATTGCTTTCTACCATATTTTTCTTCTAGTGAATATTTTCTAATGTAGTGGAAAGATGCTGAGAATGCCATGGACTGAACAGGTGAGTAACGAGGAAGATTTAGGGAAAACGGAAACCAGAAACATGCTTAAACATAGAATTTAATAATTTTAGAATCTGAAAATGAGGAAAGATCTGGAAATTCAATACTCAAAGGAAATGGTGGGTATAGGCAAAAGAACATATATATATATATAGATATATATAATATGCCTAACGATTTACAAAAAAGATGATTCCAAAGAAGGACATAATATAAAATCACCTTTTTAAATAATTATATTAAATGGATGATAACATTATTTTAAATAATAATATTATTATAAATGTATAGATCATATTTTAAATAATGTAATTAATTTACCCGGCACGTTTTTAGAATAAGAAGGACTATTTTTAAAAAATAATAACTAAAAAACTAAGAGTCTTTAGATGATTTAACTAAAAAGAACCAATTTTACTAAGATTTACAATATATATATAAATAGAGTAGAGAGAGAGAGATCGCCAACGTCCTGAAGGGACACGGCACATAGAAGAGGGGAGTTTGTGGAGTAAATGGATGGTGGGAACAAGGTTTCGGAGAGATAAGAAAATGATTTAAAATTTATTAAGATCTACGTGCTAATAAAATGTGGAAAGCCATGATCGCTTCAAAGACCAGAAATGACAAAGCATATAGAAGAAATAGGGTTCTATAGAAATGGATGGAACAAAATTTGGTGGAGGATAACGAAAACTCAAAAATTAAAACATACAAAGGAGGGAAATTTTGGGGACCATGATCACCCACGTCCTGAATGGGTCTCGACCGATAGAATTCAAAAGTGGTTGGCTTGTTTAAATGGAACCTTCAGAATAATCAAGAGATATAACTGCTCTGATGGGCTGTCGGTTCCTGGGATGAGCTGCTTTCCCTGGTTACGCTGAATACGAATTCAAGTACCATTTTATATATATATATATATATAATATATATATATATATATATAAACTTTTAAATATAGCCGCCTCTTAGAGGCGACAGTCTGTTTCATGCTATATGCAATCGTCAGCCCACATGGAACATTTTCCTATTATTTATATAGACGGGTTAAGGTCCAATTATTCAAATCTATAATGTCAGTTATTTTTACCCAGTTACCTTTGTTTATTTATTATCCCTCTCCTCATTCCTTCGTTTTTTATTTTTTATCTTTCTTTTTCCAAATTTATTTATTTATTAACGCAGAAAAATTGGTTTATATCGCCTTATTTAACAGTTTTGTTTGTTTGAAAAAAAAATGAAAAATTTAACATTCAAAGTAGAGGAAATTGGTTGAGAGCCATAACTAATTTTTTTGAAAGGAACAGTTTTTTAATTTTGGATTGAGTTTGTGTAAAAATGGACTTGGAATTTAGGTCCAATTTATTTGACAAATTTTATCATTTTTTAAGTTTTACAAAGGATAGTAATTATTTTATTTTATTTTATTTATTTATTTATTTATATTGAGTGTATATTTTTTGTTTTACATAATATAAGATAATTTGGTGTAATTTGGTAAATATTTGTTTCATACTTTGGTTTGCAAAAAAAAAAAAAAACCGAAATAAATCGACTTTCTGTTTTTCCATTTTAAATTTTTTTACAAACCAATCTCAAATTAAAAAGCTATTTAAACATTAGTCTGGTGAAGAAATCATATGTAAAATTAAGAATTCGGAAATAAGATAAGATATGACTGGGTTAGAACCATTTATTTCCTTATTCTTAACCTCACTTTTGTTAGTGAATACGCTATTGTTCTAGAAATTATGGGATATATATATAAGAAATTCATTTTACGGATTTATACTTCTAAAGAATAATCCTCGATAACAATGCAAATATTAAACACGGATTTATCGTTGTCGCCATCAGATTGCATCAGATTGGAAAACAAACCAACGAGTTAATTATTCCTTGTATTTCCAATATGTTTGGGATTATTTGGGGAATGGTATCACGAACAAATTGGTCTAGAAGTTGGCTCCACAAATCCCCAAAATTAACATACTTTGTAGAAGATTTGTAGCCTTGTTCTTTTTGTTCTTAACAGCCACCGACGGACTGTTGAAGAGGCAAGACTAACACCTTGCTCTTCGCTTAGACTGGCTGAAATTTCTTGGCTAGTTATAGTCCTATTCTTCGCAACTTCTCTCTTGATTACCCTGCCAGTTCTATCATCAATCTTTATCTTTCGTCCCTTGTTTCCTTCCTTGGAGCAGGAGTGACATCATTATGTGCCCTAAGCACTCGAGAGACAGTTGATTGCGAGGTTATAGCAATTTCTGCAATTTCTCTCGTAGATTTGCTTTGCTTTTAAGAGGGCAATAATAGATGCCTTAAGTCGTTCTGATGATGTTTTACCCTTTCATCTGGTTCTGACTTGTGTGGCTATTTCAAGCTGTTTTTATACTGTATAAGGCTTTTTGGAATATTCTTGAATACTTTAGATTTAATTTAAGCTGTTCTAGAATTCTCTAGAATATTGTTCTGAGTGTATTGTAAAAAGTTTTCAATATTTTGTCAAATTTAAATTTACCAGTTTAATCATTAGAATGCGATAATCTGAGTCACTTTATTTGCACAGTGTTTTTTCCTGATTCTCATTTATATCCAAATTTATAATTATCAATAGAATACCTTAGGGTGAATAAACTTTTTTCCTAGGTGGTCGGGAAGGGGTTTTATATTAGTAAGATTAAAAATTACTTTCACCCCAAAAACAATAGGCGAATAATTTTTTAATTAAAAAATCAGGTGAGTCACTTTTATCGAACAGCACTCTCTCTCTCTCTCTCTCTCTCTCTATATATATATATATATATATATATATATATATATATATATATATATAAACAACATATTTCGATTCACATCTAATCTTTCGTGTCCCGTTATTACCTAGATGTTTTTAAAACAAAAAACAAATCAATTTCCATGCCTGATGATGTCTGTATAAACAGATGAAAGTACTAGCAAAAAAGACCTTATACAAGTTGAATTTATTAAAAACAGGGATCATAACATTCATCTAGAGGTTTGTGGGTTAATGTAATTTTAATAAATTTGTTTGCGAGGATGTATTCTCGCCATTTATATCATTAACTTCACTAATCTGTTTTTGTATGAATGATTCATATAATTTTGTATGAATGATTCATATATATATATATATATATATATATATATATATATATATATATGAAGAAAAATTTGAAAAAACAAACAAAATCCTTAAATGTTGTTTAAAATGAATGAAATGTCGACGTCTGACGTTTCGGTTTAATAAACCTTTTTCAAGACAATATTCATTAAAATACAATATACAGTTGAATATGATGGACATAAGAAACACATTTCATTCATTTTAAACAACACGACATTTCATTCATTTTAAACAACATTTAAGGATTTTGTTTGTTTTTCAAATTTTCTTCATTCTGTCGGATTTATATCCATTTACACTTGCTTGCTTATATATATATATATATATATATATATATATATATATATATATATATATATATATATATATATATATCCACAAACTGAGGTCAATGTATTTATTGCAGAGCAAATAAATAGTACACAATAAAGTTACAAATTACTTAAGATGTGGAATAGGCTTTTCTTCATTTTTTTTTTTTTCACAATTAAAATTCTAATTCCGACACAAATTCAGTCTATAACGGGGTTGAATAAAACTGGTGAAGTTTTTGTTGATTGAAATAAACCTATTCCCCCATATGAGGTAATTTTGGATTTTATTGCGTGTATATATATATATATATATATATATATATATATATATATATATATATATATATATGAAGGTGTATGTATGTAGGTATTTCATTCTGTTCATTATCTCTCTTAGATTATCTGTCTTAGTCTCTTCATTATCGATCCATCTCTGCATCATTATTTACACTCGGACTAATATCATCATCTTTGTTGTTATCTATCTATCTCTCTATCTATCTATGTCCTTTTATTATCTCTTTAACTATATGAGTCTGTTTTTTGTTTTTTTCGTTTGAGGCCTTTTTATTGTGGTATGAATCTATGTATGTATGTCTGTTCAATATCTGTTTCTATATGTCAGTCTGTTAATTATCTATTTGTCTGTCTTTTCATACCTGTCTATCTACTTATTTATCCATCTGCCTATTTACGTTAAAGTACACCACCTGATCGTGAGACTAAAAACATTTCTTTTATAGAACGAGTATTTATTTTCCAATATGTCCATTATTGTAATTTCACATCATTATTACATAAATCTTGTTTTTTTCTCTTTTTCTTTCCTCTTATTTTTTCCCATCTTCCCGCTTTCGTTCATTCTATCTCGCACTTCTCTCTTTCCTTTCCCTTGGATTAGAAAGAAGCCTCTTTTCACGCCAGGGACACACTTTTGTCCTGAAGTCCTGCCCAATCACCGTCTGAGACTATCGCTCGGCATTATTATTGAATAGCGAAACCAAAGCCGAATGTTGACAATCCACCGAAAGTAATTTCAAATGGTGAAATCTATTTACTTGTCAGACAGAGACCACTTCACACTTTTTATTTTCGCCGTCTAATTATCTACACGATATACAGTTTTATTTATTGATCGATCGATCTTTCTCTCTCTACTCACATCTACATTCATGTCTCTTACATTTAAATTGTTCCGATTGGTCTAGTTAAGTTTCTCTTTATGCTTATCTACTTTAGTCTCAGTATTTCGACATACATCGACCTCACTTTCTATCTGTCATTTTCCCCCCCTCTCTCTCTTTCTCTCTCTCTCTCTCTCTCTCTCTCTCTCTCTGTATATATATATACATATATACATATGATCTGATGATTACGTTTAGCATGAAACAGACTGTCGCTTCTGTGTGTTGAATTCAATGTACACTTATTATATAT